TCCAACATTTCAAAGCTGCTTACCTACCCCTTCCCAACGTAGTTTTCCCATTGGACTAACAAAGTTGAATTTTCATTTGGCACAGAGACACTGCAAGTATGAACTTCTTCCTGTTGCTAGATACTGCTTTCTATCTGGTTTTGTTACCCTAAGAGGTTCCATCTTCAGGATCTTCAGCCTTTAAATGAGGTGCAGGTTGTCTGAGAATGGAACTGCTTGTTACAGCCTATCTGAGACTTCTTGCTTTTCCACCCTTTCATCCCGGCATCCTCTTTCCTGCCTTCTAACTCACAGTAGCCTAGTCTGAATTCATACCAGACTGGTGCTACTCAAAGAAGAAGTCGGCATCTATGTGGGAACATTGGATTTGTGGGCAGGGCTGAGTCTAGAATCATGTTGCCCAGTATCCCCCTGGTGATGAGAGATTGTAGACATTTCAGGAAAGACATCAGGAGCCTACAGCATCAGCAGGCATGGGCTAAATGTCCTGATGTGAAATATTTCTTTTCTCCTGCATCACAGGGCAACAGGAATAAAGGAGAGAAGAACCAGTAATGATTTGTCTCTGACAGGGTATTCTTTTTTTTTTTTTCCCCCTTCTTTTAAACAGGATTGTAGAAAGCAAGAATCCTGCTTTCACAGTGGGGGCCTTTGTCGTGGCTAGAAGTGGCTGGAGAACTCATTTCATCTCTGATGGGAAAGATCTACAACTCCTTCCTTCCAGTTGGCCAGAATCACTCCCCAAATCTCTGGCTCTTGGGACGGTTGGCATGCCAGGGTGAGTTTTGAGATCCAAAGGCAGCTATCCCCTGGATTTTGTTGTGCAGAATGTTTCTGCCTATCTGTATGACCTTTTCCCCTCGTCTTGTTCTACCAGTATGTTGTCTGCTCACTCCGGTAAAAAACATGCATGCTTCTGGATGCCCGTATCCTGTAGAGGGCCTGAAGTTTGGCCCATCCTCTAGATCAGAGGAGATTTGCCTTGGAGATTATGGTGCGTCTCCTTGGGTTATAATAAGGTAGGAAGAGGATCCAGGAGGGACTGGAAAGAACCCAGTTCAATCTGAATTAACGTCAGTGGAAAGACTCAAACTTCACTGGCACCTGGACTACTCTGCTTTTGCTGATTGGGCTATTCTGCTATCACCATATTTCCAGAATTGCCCCCAAAATGGCAAAAGACAACTGTCATATCATGCAGTAAAATAGAGGTCCTTTAAATTGCACTGCAGCAGACAGAGCTGCTGTGTTTCGGAATCTGTATTCACTACTGCAGTTTCTCAGTCATCTTCCACATTTCTTCTCTCTTTTTCTGCAGTTTGTATGGGAAATCAGGACTTGGGTCAGTCCTGTTGACATGGAGGGCTTTCAAAATGATTTTAACATTGTGTGTGATGCAGAACTTCTCAGATTTCATTTTTACATCAGGCAAGATGCGTGTTTTTCCAGACAGCTGCTAGATGAATTGAGTTCACTGTCGTGGTTTAACCTCAGCTGGCAACTGAGCACCACGCAGCCGCTTGCTTACTCCCCCCTGGTGGGATGGGGGAGAGAATCAGAAAAGTAAAAGTGAGAAAACTCGTGGGTTGAGATAAAAACAGTTTAATAATTGAAATAAAATAAAATAGTAATAATATTAACAATAAAAGAATATACAAAGCAAGTGATGCACAATGCAATTGCTCACCACCCGCTGACCGATGCCCAGCCAGTCCCCGAGCAGCGGCACCCCCAGCCAGCTTCCCCCAGTTTCTGTACTGAGCATGACGTCACATGGTGTGGAATGTCCCTTTGGCCAGTTTGGGTCAGCTGTCCTGGCTGTGCCCCCTCCCACCTTCTCACTGGCAGGGCATAAGAGGCTGGAAAGTCCTTGACTAGTGTAAGCACTGCTCAGCAACAACTAAAACATTGGTGTGTTATCAACATTGTTCTCATCCTAAATCCAAAACACAGCACTGGACCAGCTACTAGGAAGAAAATTAACTCTATCTCAGCAGAAACCAGGACATTCACCCTTTCAGTTCGGAGCCAGTGGGAAGCTCTAAGCTTGAATTTAGAAGCTAGAAGAAAAGTTTGTTGGGATTCTGGGCCAGTTGATCACATTGCTTCAGGAAGCTTGCAGAGCCTGATGTCATTCAGTATTTATATGATCAGTGGAACATGCTTGAGCTAAACTTTAGTGGTTCCTACCAATCACTATTCACCCAGTAGCTGTAGCTCTGCACAGTAGTCCTCAGGAGTAGTGTGCCCATCAGTTCAGCAAGGTTTTGCCAACGTTTTTTTCTTTTTCTGCCAGCTTTGATTTGTGATGAGTATCGTTTAATCTTTGGCTCAATCTGGTAGATACCAGCTGTCTCCTGACCTCTGTCTAGCTTGGATTTACTCTCTCATCCAGTGTGTAACTGAGTTGTCACCTTACAGAGTTATGTGTTTCTCCTTCCGGCTGGTGAGCGCAAGGAAAGCTGTTCTCACCTAAGGTAGACTTATGCCACAGCATCCTGTTTCCCAGTAGTGTATCTGTTTTTTTAATGGGATGGCTGTAAAAAAAGCCAAATTAAGAAGTTTGGGTTAATTTTTATATTTCATAAAGAATGAAGAAAACTGAACCTTGTTCTGGTTGTGATGATATTTTGATATTGGTTCAATGTGGTCAAGTCACATCTCTGTGTCTGGCGTCTTTTATTCCTCACTGAGCATTCTTTCTTTTTCTTCACAGCCTCACTGCCTATTTTGGTCTGCTGGAGGTCTGCAAGATGAAGCCAGGAGAGACGGTGCTGGTTAATGCTGCAGCTGGAGCTGTGGGCTCTGTAGTGGGGCAGCTCGCTAAAATTGGGGTGAGTGGCTTGAACTGCTCATACTTGCTCCTCAGAAGGCTCACCTGGAGACAGGGGAACAAGGCCATGAATGATCAGGAGGGCAAGCATCCCTGAAGGCATGCCTACAGTAAGGTCTTGAGATGGGACAAGCTCCTGAAGATGTAGCAAAGCTAGTTGAATGTTTCCTAGCGCTCAGGAACTCATGTGGTGACAACAGCCTGACTTTAAGGGTGAGCTCTCCACTCAGCTGTGAGTGTTAGCCTGTGTCGTGAGGGGATGTTTAAAAATGTTTTTCTCCTTTCCTTGCAGGGTTGCAAAGTGGTTGGCTGTGCTGGCTCAGATGACAAGGTTGCCTATCTGAAAAAAATAGGCTTTGATGAAGCCTTTAATTACAAGACTGTTACATCTTTGGATGAAGCACTGCGTAAAGCCTCTCCTGATGGCTACGACTGTTTCTTTGACAATGTGAGTTCAGAGAGAGGGCCCTTCCCTGAACAGACTGTCATTCTCCTTAAACTATAGCAGGAACTCAATATTGTATATATCTAATTGAAGACTACACCAGGAACTCGATATTGAGTTCCATCTAATTGAGAAATGGTCTCCATAAGAGCTTACTGCTTTCCTGTTCCCTTCCCACCCTTATTTCTGCGGCCGACTTGGGCAGTAACAGAAAGAACAAAGACCGAAAGGCAAAGCTGGATTGTTGGTGGTGTTTGTGAATGGAGAGAGAAGCTTTCATTCTTTGGAAAGTCTGGCACATTTTGGGGACGTGAGGGTCACAGTGAACATTTAACTGATGCTGAACAGAGAGAGCTCCGGTCCATTCCTGGCCCCACCTTGGACCACAGGCAGTCCTCTGCTGTTGCTGGAAGGGGGGCGAGCATGGATGGTTGCATGTTACATGGTCCAGGTGGCTACACTGGTACCTGTAAACAAAACAGTTGAAAGGCTCACTTGTAAAATTGCTGGAGTGGCCCACAGAGGGTGTCTGACCTCTCCCAGGTACAGCTGGAGTTAATGGGGGCTGTGGAGTGTTCTTGATAAGCTGTTTGAATGTGACCATCTTGTTTTGGAGAGTTTAACAGTACAGATGCAGTCAAACCATGTCAGTTCACCTTCAAGACAGAGAACAAGCCCTGGTGTTTTTAATTTCCTAGTATAGCTAATGTATGCATTATACCTGATAATATAATACCTGGCACAGGGGTATTAGCTGACATACTGGCCTAAAACTCCCTGGCTAGCCACCTGGTTTAAAGGGCAGCCATCATTACCCCTTTAGCATGTCTTTCTCTCAGCAGTCTGTCTGCCAATCCAGGGATGACAGTGCTGTCGTTCTGTGTGGATTGCAACGCACCTGCCTTGCCCTGGCAATCGATGTGAATGCATGGTGCGAGGGCAAAGCGCTTGCCCCTGTGGCAGGAGCTCCTGGTTGCCTTGCCTCACCCCCCCAGATTTCATGTCCTGTGCTGCTAAGGTCTTAAATGGGTTTTATGGTCATATCCGTTCCCTTCCCTCTCGCTTCCAACTTTTGTGCAGAGCTCTCCCCAGCAGTAAATTTTCTCACAGCTTTTCTCTGTTGTTAAAAGCTTCCGAGTATAGTACATCCTCATTTGGGAGGAGAATCACTGAGTAAAAACTTGTCATCAACATAATGTGAAGAGGTAAAAGTGCAGACTGGTGGGGGGGAAAAGCAGAGGTGGTGCTTCTTAGTGCCCCTGGACATGCCCCTTAGGAGGAGGGATCTAAGGGCAAGTCCTGCCCAGTGCTTCCAAACCAAGCTTTGTGAAGCAGATTTGGAATTAAAACCAATTCCCTGTGTTCATAACTAATTTTTAGAAGAGTGACATCAAGTCTTCATAGGTGTTGACTCAGTGTAAGGGTTTCTGCAGCCACTGAGTCTTCGGAGTAGTGGAACTCACCTCTCCACCCCTTGGTGGAACCTGTTGGTGCAACAATGCAAGGTTGGCAGGTTTTGGCAGTCAATGCCAAACACTGGATGTCTCTAATGCTGCACATGCTCTGGTTCTTGTAGGTGGGTGGAGAATTTGCCAGTATTGCTATCAACCAGATGAAGAAATATGGAAGGATTGCAGTCTGTGGAGCCATCTCTCAGTACAATGACTCCGTGCCTCAGAAAGGTGTGGGCCTGCTTTCCTGTGTCTAAGTTTGTTTCCTGTTTGGTGATGGCAGAGATAAAGACATAATGGGAGTCCCCTGAGATTTTATTGGTTGTTTCCGTATGCCATTTGAGTGTATGTATGTGTGTACATTTGGGTAACTAACCGCTGCTCTGGGGCAGCGGGAGCGTGACCGCACTCCTTGTGCGTACGTGCACACATCCCCCTTTGTGCACACTGGTATCGGATGGAGAACATCAGCTGATTAGAAATGGAAGGAGAGACTAAACTACTTAAACCAGGATTCCCCGGGGCCCTAAGCAGATACAGATCAGTAGAAGGCAGGTGTGGTGGCATGATGCCACTTACACAGTATGTACTTTTAGATGAGAGAATGGATTTCCCTCGGGTTTTTAGATTAAACAGCTTAGGGTTTTGGTTTTTTTTTTCCACAAGAGTTCAACTACTGGTGAAACTACTGGGAAATGTGGCCAAGATGAATATTCACTTTCAATAGCATTAAGTTTTCCAAATTTGCCTTCTAGAAGAAGCGGGAGGTCTGAATTCTCTTTGACAACTGACTGGCTTTGGACTCGCAGATCACTTTAAAAATGGAACAGGCTTTTGAGAGTGGGGAGACTATCATACTATATTTTTATGATTGAGGGAACTTTTTTTTAATGTGCGTAACTTTTTTGAGATTTAGGAAGAGCATGAGAGCTTGGCAGGCTACCAAACAAGCTGTCAAAACAGTATTTCCAGGATTCAGCTGAAACCCCTCAGCTGAAGCTGAGGCTGCTTTACTTCTGAATGAAACTGTTTTCAGGAGAGTTAGGTGTTCGGCCCCACAGCTTTATGGATCAGGCCTGTTTTCCTGGGTGGCTGTCTGTCCATGAAACCTTGGTCTTTTGTCCTGGAAATTCTGTTTGGGAAAAAAACCCAGTTGCTTCTGGCTGGAACAAAGTGGTTCAGTGGTCTTTACTGGCTAAAAGCTCTCTTTAGGCATTGGGTCTTATTTTAAATGAAACTGATATTGTGGGTGGTTTGCTGTTCCTTTCTGCTGCAGGACCTTATGTGCAGGTTCCAATGATCTTCAAAGAGCTTCGAATGGAAGGGTTTATTGTGACCCGCTGGAATAACCGCCGGGAGGAAGGTCTGAAGGCACTGCTAAAATGGGTCCTGGAGGTAAGGAAGGAAGGGGTAGTTTTCTGTAAGGTGTACTCACACCGTAGCTTCCCTCTTTGCAAGGGGTCTCTTGTCATAGCTGTTGAGGTGAGGGCCCATTGTGATACTTTTCTTCCACCTGACTTGATCTTTGAGCCTTTTGGGGACACTCAAACCATAGTGAACATGCCTGATCCCTTCTGCTTTGTTGAGACCTGCGATATTAGCTTGTGGGCTTAGATATACTCCAGAATACACGTAGGCTTTGAAAAAGGATGCTTCTAGAGTAATTCAAAACACTTCTCTGGCAATGAAGAGTTTCATATTTAGAGTGATTTTTCTATTTCTCATTCAGAAGTCTCATTTCATTTGTAGTATGAGCAGGGATTTCCACTGTAGTATTGTGCTGAAATTACTGGCAAGAATGGATGTTTTTATGGAATTGTGAGCTGGGCTTTAAAGGGACTTAATAGGGAATTTCTTAAATTTTATTTTTCTAAATGGAAGCTGAGTTTAACACTTGGTTCATGGCTGTGAAAAGCTTGTGAGTGCGAACACTAAAGGCTCTAGCTTTTACAAACATGAAGATTTGGGATGGCTCAGCTTTTGATTGCTTGGATTTGCAATTCCATACTTCCTTACGGGTAGAGACAGGCCGGGCTTTGGGGAAGTAATACCCTACTTGTCCATTGTTTGGGGACCAAGTAGCACTAAATCTGTCCTGGTGTGTTTTTATAGCAGTGACTTTTGCTCCCTGTTATGACTCCAGGTAGAAGGTCTTGCAACAAAAGCAGGTCCTACCTGCCTAGTCTTGCAAAGTTACCCTGGTGCGTGACAGCTTGCATGTTTCAGATAAAACATAAAACATACAAGCTGGAGAAAATCTGGTTGTGATTTAGTCTTCCGAAGATCATAGAATCATAGAATCATTCAGGTTGGAAAAGACCTTTAAGATCATCGAGTCCAACCACAAACCTAGCACTGCCAAATCCACCACTAAACCATGTCCCTAAGCACCACATCTACCTCTTTTAAATATCTCCAGGGATGGTGACTCCATGACTTCAACTGGGCAGCCTGTTCCAGTACTTTACAACCCTTTTGGTGAAGAAATATTTCCTCACATCCAATCTAAAACTCCCCTGGCACAACTTGAGGCCATTTCCTCTCGTCCTTTCGCCAGTTACTTGGGAGAAGGGACCGACACCCACCTCACTACAACCTCCTTTCAGGGAGTTGTAGAGAGCAATGAGGTCTCCCCTCAGCCTCCTGTTCTCCAGGCTAAACAACCCCAGTTCCCTCAGCCGCTCCTCAAAGGACTTGAGCTCTAGATCTTTCACCAGCTTCATTGCCCTTCTCTGGACACGCTCCAGCACCTCGATGTCCTTCCTGTAGTGAGGGGCCTAAAACTGAACACAGTATTTGAGGTGCGGCCTTGCCAGTGCCGAGTGCAGGGGGACGATGCTAAAAACTAGGGAGCTGGTGAACAAAAACTCAGCCATTTCCTTTCTTCCTTTTGACAGGGAAAAGTGAAGTGCCATGAACAAGTGACTGAAGGATTTGAGAACATGCCAATGGCTTTCATTGGAATGTTAAAGGGAGAAAATCTTGGAAAAGCCATTGTAAAAGTCTGAAGGTCACATATCCTGGGAGACTGGCACAAGAGAATGATTCTGTTAAAGTGCTTTTAACTCACTGATCGGAAGGCATGTTTCAGTCTTTTTGCTGGATGTTTGGTGATGATAACTTCTGTTAATAATTGGGGTAGTATGTGTAAGTATATGCCAATGGCTTTGCTCTTGAAGAGCTTGAGAGTTGCTTCCCAAAGCTACACAAAAAATAAAAGCCTTAAAACTGCTACACCTCATCAGAATTGTAACAGATTTAATAGTAGCTTGAAGCTGTCTGTGAATTGGCTTGTAGAAAGCAATAGCAATTCCAAAAGCTTTGCCATCTGATGACTAATGTTTACCTATTGATTTGGCCCAGAACTCAGCAAAAGGGTTTTTTTTAACCAGTATCAAGGAGCAAAGAACAGGCTAAAAACACCTGGGTGTTCCCAGCTTCCTCACATGGGTGGTTTTTTGTTTTTCACTTTCATCAGGAAATGTAGATATCTCAATTCTGAGATTCTGGAAAGAAAAAATAAATCTGTTAATGGATACTTTGCTTGTGTTATAGTTCTGTTTGTAGAATGCCCTCCACTTCCTTGCGGTTAACACTGAGTGGCTAAAATATTGCAAGCACTTATTCATCCCAGCAGATCTCACAGTACGGGTGGCACGGATAGGTCACTTTCCTTGAGTAATTTGGCCATGGTGTTCACTCTGGCTCTCCTGGAAGATGAGATCAATATGCTGGCCCTACCTGTGTTAAATTGGTGTCCAGGATCCACATGGTGCTGAGCAAAGGAGACACACAGATTAGCAACAATAAATACCTTAGATGTACTGAAAAAGCCAGAACAAGAACCTGTTAACTTGCTACGGGATACAGACAGGTATTGAAGGTGACAGTGATCCATCTTCAACCACTGTGGAGGACTTCTTGGTTAATTTTTAAGTCTCATTATTGATCTGTGAAGAGGGATCTTGTGTCCTTAATGTCTTTGCAGTGCCAGGATTAGATGCTCTGTCTGTCAACAAGAAGAGATCACTCATGATGTAGATCAACCGATGCTTGCTGAGTGAACAAATCACGTCCTGAAATACAGGTTGACTGGCCACTGGGGCAATAACGCATCTTGGCACAAGTAGGGGAGAGGTTCTGGTTGCTTTATAGGGTTTTCTGGGGAGAAACAATTGCCAATTTGGGTTAGCTCCAGTGCTGCTGTGGTTTTCAACTGGCCTCTAAGAAAAATCTGTGGATTAATACTGCTGCGCAGTGTGGAAAATGGTAAACCAGAAAAGGGAGTTTGTTGTCAGTAGGCTTCAGATCCACTGTGTGGAGGTCTGCTGTTGTTTGGCAGTTTTTTATTGAGAAATTTTCAGAGGGCTTGCAAGTCCTAAAGTACTGAATTGTTTTAAAAGTCCAGTGAACTCATGATCTCTTGTTTCAAGTAAAGTTGTGATTTCAGAATGAAGTACTAATAGCCACATGGAGTTCCTGTCCCTTGGTCGGAGTTGCAGAAAGATTTGCCAGTCAGAATAAGTCTGGCTCAGCCTGCTTTCTCATAAAATACTGACCTGTACATTCCCTCGCTATCTGTGTATACATCTCGTGCTTCATGAATTGCAGCTGATTCTGCAAAGCCATTTTGCCCCCAAACATGATCTTTTTTGGCGAAAGCAAACCCCCCCAAACCTGTCCCACCTCTGAACTTCACTGGAGAACATAACTATTTCCTCCTGAAAATCCAAGTTTTCTGTTATGCACCAGGAATGCTGCCAGCACATGAATAACGACAATAATGTCCCTCATTGTCTGGCACACTGTCTGGAGATCTTGCAGTGGTTTCTCACTGTGAGTTTGGTTGTCCTTGAAGTTCTAAAGCTTATGGAGAGATACCTGAATTTTTCCACAATGTGCTGATAACAATAAAAAGGGAGTATTAAAAACACTTTTTTTTTTCCTTGACAGTCATGGGAGTGAGAGTGTCAGTGGCACAAGTTAAGCTGAAGGCCACAAAAACTCTATTTCTCCCCACTAGTGACACAAACTGACCCTATGAGCACTAGCAGTGTAACGCAGTTGAACAAGGTGCCAACGCCCAGTGGAGAGCAGAGGCGCAGCTGCGTTGCTGGGATAGGCCCTTTCTGCCAATACACGACGACACGCGCTTTTAGGCAGCACATTGGTAGTACCGTGGCAGCCCAGCCTGTCCTCTGGCCAGCTGCACAAGGCCTGTGAGCAGCAGACGCTGGCTGCCGTCACCCCTCCTCTAACATTATCACTCTGCAGCTGAGCTTAAAAGCTTTCTGGGAAAGGGCGAGCTCTCGGTGGTCCCACTGGCTGTCAGAAGGTGTGCAAGGGATTGCCTGGGGCTCGGTCCTCCATGGCACTGCGGCAGTTCTCCACTGCATGTGTCTGCAACGGTGAAAAGGGTGTCAGCTCTGCCCAGCGTGCAGTGCCCGTTCCTCAATGGCCCTGCAGCTCCGGTCTTCTTGTGCTGCTTTTCTCCAGTCCACGTGGCCATGTCTGTGCGGCGACCTAAGTTACACTTAGCAAGTAGGCTTGACAGTGCGATTTCTGAGGCTGTTTAGGAGCCCAGTTCATTGAGGATATAATATATAAGAGCAAGAGAAAGAACTTTTTTAATAATCTTAAATGCAAACAGCTGCAGGCTTCATCATCTGTTGGCTGAATAGCTCTTCATTTATATGTAATTATTTCTAGAGTAGTGGTTGCTTAACACCTTATGCTTGCCTGTGCAAAATGAAACAGTCTCTAGATTAGAGGTGTTCCAGTCTAATAGATTTTGCAACTTTTGTGTCCTGTTCCTAAGCAAATTCAATTTGGGGCTGGTGGCAATAGCCTGCCAGAGCTCAGGACACAGCAGGGACCAGCCTTGAGGAGTTCGCCATGGCCTGCCACACCAAGGGTGGCCTCAGGAGAATTGCTGCGAAGAGCTGTGGGTTGCTGAAACCAAGGAGCTATTCCTGGCATGCATTGCTGCCTGCTGAGCTTCTCTCATGGTCCTCCAGGGCGGGTGCCCACAGGAGGGGGTCAGGACAACACAGCCCAGCCACAGCATCCATTCTCATGTGAGCCCTGTTCCCCAGCTGAATCAAATCCAACCTTAAACCCCCCAGCATCTCCGATGCAGCCTGGACTGAAGCAAGCAAGACATACCTCAGATCCTTTGCTCTCACCTTGCTCCCATGACTCCTGACTGCAGCTGTTCATCTCACACCCCCACCCAGCTAGACAGCATCAGCTCCAAACAGGTCCCTCACAGCTTAGCTTGCTGCTGGCCGTTACCTACAGTGTGGGGAGACGCCTCCTCTCCCTGTCCTCAGCTCCTCATCACTAGCTGAACATGGGCTCGCCTTCCTCATAAGCTGAAAGCCTTTGGGGCCCATCCTGCTAAGCGGCACTAAAACTGACCACTGCATTTCCCTTATCGGCATGCTTCACAGTTCCGAGGACTGCTCATGGTGCCAGCCCTTGCTCTTCCCCCAGGCTCCTCTCTCTGAGGAACTAGAAACAGATGCAAGGAAAGGTGAAAAACCAGACTTGATCCCTTCCCTGAGGAGGTGTCATGGACTGACTCAAGTGGAGGGGAGATGACCCAAGCCTGGTCTAAAACTCTTCCTCTGGGGATGCAGTTGGACCCGATGCCTGGCTTCTCCACCTCCCTAGCCTCTGCCACATCCACCCCACCCCCGATGCTCCAGTTTCTGGGGGCCAGGCAGGTGGTGCCACCTGGATGGTAGGAACCCATCCCCCATGCATTCTCCTCTAGCCCATTACCTAGAGATACTACCATCACCCCAGTGCTGTCAGAGAGGGAAAAGCACAAGACATTCCCAGAGTCAGTGTGCATATAAATATATTAGACATAGACAGTCACTGCCACCTCGTGGAGATTTGCATGTCACAAATTTGTCTGCCAGCTGCAGGTAGAGATAAGGCTTCACACAGCTCCCGTGCAACCTGGACCATCTCAGCTTTCCCTCTCGAGAGGAGGAAAAATTGCATTTCATGTGGACATGCTTCCCCAACATCTCCACAAGACAAGCTCCTCTAACTCATCTAGTCGATCCTTACCAAATCTGGACGCATCTGGCTGGGTACACTTCTCACCTGTGTGATACCTCCATTGAAAATAAGGATGCCACAGTATGTTTCAACCTCTACTCAGCTGAACTGAGTACAGCACCTGCTGCCTCCCCAGAGCTCCTTATCACTCTTCTTCCTGCCATAGTTTTGTGCTTGGTTTTCTGACTGAGGAAGACCTACAGATGAAGGTTTCAGCAGCTGGGGTAGCGTTGGTGTACAGTTACTGCTTCAGATGAAGAGCAGAGACTGCATGCCACGGCCAGGCCCCTGCTAAGCCAGGCATCGGGTCCAACTACATCCACAGAGGTGCCCTCTCAGTCCTGCACTGCCTGTTGTTACCATGTCATTGTATTAGGTTTACATCGGAAGGGTTGGGGGGGGGGGTTGCGGGGTTGGTTTTTTTGGGGAACCAGAAGCTGCCACCACATCA